GTTATCTCACTTTTCTTTTTCATATCAAATGCTGTGATGGAGTAAGTCTTTCAGTGTTATGCAGCTCATAGCTGGGAGTCTTAAGGTGTAAGCAGTTTCTCATAGCTTGATCATGTTGTTTAACTATATTTTTTTCTTCTCTAGTTCATAAGAGAAAAAGCTTTCACCAAATTAGAAATAGTTCACTTTGTTATTCTTGACTGAGTATAGCTTTTGAAATACTACCTTCTGCAAAAATCTTTTTTTGAGTGGGTGAATTAGAAAAAAAAATCTTAAATTTCAAACATGTCACTGATCAGGAGATAAATCTAAGCTTTCTAATCAAGAATATGCTGGGTCCTAGAGAGAATTATTTAAAAAAGAAAAGACCTATTTAGACATATCTTGGTAAAATTTCTGAATTCTAGGATTGAAAAACTATTATTAGGGGCACTGCCTGTGGGTCACTGAGTAGGGTGCCAGCCTCATATACTCAGGGTGGCAGGTTCAAACCCAGCCCCAGCCAAACTGCAATTTAAAAAAAAAATGGCCAGGTGTTGTGGCAGGTGCCTGTAGTCCTAGCTACTCGGAGGCTAAGGCAAGAGAAAAACTATTATTAGTGCCCAGAAAGAAAAATCAAGTTGCTATAATGGATAGAATGTTATCAGATTTGTCATAGGCCATGAGTAATACACTGGGCTTGTACAGTCAGACAGCCTGGGATTTAACATAGATATGCCAGTGACTTTGACTTTGGGCATATTATCTTTTCTGTGTCTCAGTTACCTCAACTGATATGGTAGAATAATAGTAGTAACTACTTTATAAAGTTTTATAGGAATTAAATTACTCGATACATGAAAACACTTAGAATAGTGCCTAGACACATAGCGTATACTTGAGAAATGTTAGTTATCATTATTAACTAAAACACAATAATAAAAGATAATAGTGTTACTGTCTATGACGCCATCAAAAGACAGTCAAGTAGGCTTCTAATTCCAGAAAGATGGAGTAGACATACATTTCCCTATTTCTTTAGCTAAATATAATTAAAAACCCTAGAAAGTATATAGAAAACAAACATAAGAAGAGTCTGAAAGGTAGAGAAACAAGCAGCAAGCTAGCTAGGGACCTGGGGACTCCAGGAACAGCATAGTGGAGAGTACTCTGAGATTTCTTTTTGTTCCGTATATTCTAGATTTGCAGCTGGAGAGGTTGGCAAACCAAAAATTTAACAAGTGAAGACAAAAAAGCCCAATGAGCTTGTCCTCTCCTACCAAAGGACCATAAAAGAGTAGCCTAACAAGATAAAACTTTTAGAAAATAACTGCTCTACTTCAGGAAAAAAATCCAGGAAAACACTGGTCATGCGCCTACAGCCAGCAGAGGCTGAATGAAAAACCTATATTTTCACCCTTGCTAGGACATAGTAAGATGCTCCCAGCCAGCCTATTGGCCTAGTGTCAGCAAAGGCCAAGTAGGAGGCTGGAACTTTCATCCCACCCCTGTGATATTAACTGATGGAGACTACATGTGGACCCTGACTTCCAGCCCTGATCCAGCAGTAACAAAGTGACTATACCCCTACCTCTGGGGTGGTGACAGATTTAATGAAGAATCACAATTTTAGCACCAACCAACAACAAGTACTCCTACTGTTCCAAGACAAGGAAGTATCAGTGAAAACCTAGTTGAGAGCTGGAATTCCCATGCCTGTCCCCACCCTCACTCCCCTATGTCAATGGAAGCTAAGGGGGAAACCTGGCCTTCTACTCTTACCTGTTACTAATGAGGCAGCACTATAACTTCACCTTTTTATTGTCAGTGTGGTGTCACAGAAAGCCAGCTAACAGGGAAGGTTTAAATAAAATCCAGAGTCTCATAAAATAATAAACAACATGTCCAAATTTCAAGTAAAAATCACTTATCACACCAAGAGCTAGGAAGATTGAATGAAAAAAGACAATCAACAGATACCAACATTAATAACAAATGTTAGAATTATTGGACAACAATTTTAGAGTTGCCATCACAAAAATGTTTCAGCAAGCAATATGTGCTCAAAACAAGGGAAAATGCTGAAAGTCTCAGCAAAGAAACAGAAGATATAACAGAGGAAATTATGGAACTGAAAAATATAACTGAAATAAAAAACTCAGTGAACGAGCTCAACAGCAGAATGGGGATAAAGAGAGGGAAGCATAAGGGAACTAGCAGACAGAATGATAGGAACACCCAATGTGAACAAAAGAGAGAAGAGCCTGAGGAAAAAACTGACCCTCAGAGACATGTGAAAATACAATAAAAAATATAATATTTGTGTTACTGGATTCCCAGGAGAAGAGGAAAAAGGCAGGGCAGAAAAAGTACTAAAAATGGCTATAAAAAATCACCAAATTTTGCAAAAGACATAATTATACAGATTTAAGAAGGTAAACAAACTCCAAACAGAAAAAAACCAAAGAAACCTACACCAAGACACATTCTAGTCAAATTTCTGAAAACTAACAACAAAAATCCTGGAAGCAACCAGAAAGAGACCTTTAGGGGGAAAATAACTTGAGATTCCTCATCAGAAACATGGAGGCCAGATAGAATGGATACATTTTTAAGTGCTGACAGAAAAGAACCGTCAATCCAGAATCCCATATTCAGCAAAGATATCATATCCTTGAGAAATGGAAATCAAAGTGTTCTCACAGACCTTAAAGAATGAGTACAGGAAGTTACTTTAATGGAATAAGAAAAGGAACCTTCCTTAAGAAGGAAGATGGGAAGCAAAAATATGGTTAAACACAATAAACTTTCCTTCTCTTGAGTTTTCTAAATTATGTTTGATGGTTGAAGGAAAAATCATGATTGTCTAACGTGGTTCTAAATGTGTATAGAAGAAACATTCAAGACAAGTGTTTAAAAACAAGAAAGGGTAAAGAGACATAAAGCGGGTAAGATTGCTAGTCTTGAACTGGTAAAACGATGACATCACTAGACTCCATGTATAATACAATGCCTGCAGCAATCACTCAGAAAACAAAGACATACACTTAAATACACTACAAAAAGAAAAAAATCAAAATGGACTTCAAACAATTACTCCAGTAACAGAAAACAAGATTTGAAACGGCAGGGTTAAGCCTAATGTATCAATAATTACATTAAGTATAAATGGTCTAAATATGCCAATTAAAACACAAACTGGCAGAGTGGATAAAAAAAATCACCCAATAATATATTGTCTACATGAAACATACTTTAAAAATAATGACACAGGCAGGTTGAAAAGGAGATAAAAAAACTATGTAAGCATTAATCAAAATAAAGCAGGAGTGTATTTACTGTATTTACTATCAGACTAAGTAGACGGTAGAGCATATAAAATTACCAGAGAAAGAAACATACAATGATAAAATAGTCAATCCACTAAGAAGACACAGTAATCCAAAATGTGTATGCACAAAACAACAAAGCTGCAAAATATATGAAGCAAAAACGATAGAGCTGAAAGGAGAAATAAATCCACAATTATACCTGAAGACTTCAAAACCCTCTCTTAACAACTGATGGGACAACTAGATAGAAACCCATTAAGGATAAAGAAAAAGTCAACACCACAATAAGACAATAGGATCTAATCAAAATTTATACATTTCATCTAGCACCAGCAGAATACACACTCTTTTCAAGCACCCAAGGCATATAGAACATACAACATATCTTTCTATAGAATATAGAACATATCTTTGGCCATAAAACAAATCAACGAACTTTAAAAACTTGAAGTCACACGAAGTGTTACTACACACGATGGAATCAAACTAGAACTCTGTAATAGAAAGGTAATAGGAAAACATCCAAACACTTAGAAATTAGTACACACATCTCTAAATAATCCTGGGTCAAAAACAGGTCTCAAAAGAAATTTTTAAAAAGACACTGAATTGACTGAAAATGAAAATACAACATATCAAAATTTGTGAGACACAGGTAAAGCAGTACTGAGAGGGGAATTAATAATAATGCACACATACAAAAAGAAAATTCTCAAATCAATAAACTCTTACATAAGAATCTAGAAAAAAAGCAAAATAAACCCAAGTCAAGCAGAAGGAAAGAATAAGCAGAAATCAATAAAATTAAAAACAAGAAAGCAAGAGTGAAAAATCAATGAAAGAAACAGCTGAATTTATTCTTTGAAACAAGCGACAATATTGACAAAACTCTAGGAAGAACGACAAATTTTAAAAAAAGACACAAAATACCAATATCAAGAATTAAACAGGAGATACCACTACTAACTCTGCAGACATCAAAAAGATAAGGGTACATACACATAAACACACATAAATTTAACAATATAAATAAAACAAATTCCTCAAAAAACACAAATTCATTAATATAAAATAGATAATTTGAACAGTTCTATAACTATTAAAGATATTAAACTCATCATTTAAAAATTCACCAAAAAGAAAGCTCCAGGCCCAGATGATTTTATTAGAGAATTCTACCAACTGCTTAAACAAGAGTTAAGACCAATTCTTGAAAATCTCTTGCAAAAAATAGGAGGAAATACTTCCCAATTCATTTATTGAAGCTGGTATTCACTGACTGCCAAACTAGATAGTGTCTAGCAGATACAGACACAAAAATTCTTGACAAAATATTAGCAAGTATAGAATTCAACAATATGTGAATAGAATTTTATAACATGACCAACAGAGTTCATTCAAGGGATGCAAGGGTGGTTTAACATTACTCAATGTAATTTACCATATTGAATGGCTAAAGAAGAAAAATCACATGATCTTACTATTAACTGATGCAAAAAAAAAAAGCATTTGACAAAATCTAGTACCCATTTATGATTAAAAACTCCCAGAATATAGGAATGGAAGAGAATTTCTTCAACTTGATAAAAAAGCATCTCCAAAAAACAAACCAACAAAACCCAACCAAACAATAGCAACAGAAACTATACAGCTAACATTATTCTTAATGGTGAAAGACTGAATACTTACCCCCCTAAGACCAGGAACAAGGCAGGATATTTGCTCTCACCAGTCTTATTCAACATAGTGCTGGAAGTTCTAGCCAGTGCAATAAGGCAGAAAAGGGAATAAAAGGCATATACATCAGAAAGGGAAAAATTAAACTGCCTCTATTTGCCAACAAACTAATAATCTACAAAAACAAAATCCCAAAGAATCTACAAAAAAATTCTAGAATAAGTGAGTTCAGCAAGGTTGTAGGATACAAGATAAACACACCAAAATCAATATTTCTATAAACTAACAATGCATATATGAACACTGAAATTAAAAATATGATGACATTTACAATTATCAAAAAATACAAAGGAATAAATTTAAGAAGACTTTAGATAGGTATAGGACTTGTATGTGGAAAACTACAAAATGCTGATTAAAGAAATCACATAAGAGCTAAATAAATGCAGAGATATACTGTGTTCATAGATTCAAAGACTCAACATAGTGAAGATGTTCTCTCCAAATTGTTCTGTCTACACATAGTTTTAACATTATTTCTATCAAAACACCAGCAAGATTTTTTTTGTAGATACACATAACTTTTTGAAAAATTTAGAAGAATAGAAAGGTAAGGAACTAAGCTCAAACAATTTTGAAAAAAAGAAGAAAAGAGGGTGAGGAATCAGTCTATCCTATTTAAGGACTTATAGTTACTATAATCAAGACATTGGTTGATATTACAAAAGGGTAAATGTATAGATCAATGGAATAGGGAACCAAGAAACAGACCTACACAAATTAGGCTAAACGTTTTTGAGAAATATATAATCCTTTTCAACGGAGAAAGGGCCATCTTTTCAATCACTGGTGTTGGAGCAATGGGACATCCATAGGCAAAAGACTTAAAATACACACAAAATAACACAAAATGGAGCATGAACTTAAATGTAAAATGCAACACTATAATACAGTTATAGAAAACATAAGAGAAAAAATAAAAAGAAAAGAAAACATAAGAGAAAATATTTGTGGTCAAGAGTTTAACAAAGAGTTCCAGACTTCATACCAAAAGAGAAAATTGATAAATTGGACCTCATTAAAATGAAAAAAATTCTAGGCTAATAACTCAAAACTTAACAGTAAATAGTAACCAATTATGCGTTGAATTACATCCTCAATAAGATATGACAGAGCAATTGGGATATCCATTTCAAGCATTGTATCAAAATATCACATATGCCCCATAAACATGTACAAATATTATATATCCATGATAATTTTTGGGGGGTTGTAATTGTCATTGTTGTTTTGCAGGCCCAGGTTGGATCTGAACCCACCAGCTCCGGTATATGTGGCTGGCACTCTAGCCGCTGAACTACAGGCGCCAAGTCTATATTCATAATTAAAAATAAAATTTTTAAAAGATATGAAGAGTCACAACTCTCAGTACCTCAGAATGTGAACTTATTTGGAAATAAGATTCTTGCAGATATTAGTTAAGATGTAATTAATAAATTAAAACCATAATTCAGTATGACTGGTGTCCTTATAAGAGACAAAGACACAGGAAGGGAGAATGCTATATGATGGCAGAAGCACGGATTGAAGTCCTACAGCTATAAGCCAAGGAAAACAAAGGAGTGCTGTGGGTCACCAGAAGCTAGGAGACGGGCATGGAACAGGTCCTCCCTTAGAGCCCTCAGAAGGAATCGACCCTAATAACATCTTGACTTGAGACTTCTAGACCTCAGAACTGTGCGACAATAAATTTTCTGTTGTTTTAGGCCACCCAGTTTATGGTACTTTGTTAAGGCAGCCTTAGGAAACTAATACGCAGTTCAGTTAGAAAATGGGCAAAAGAGACTTTTCACTGACGAGAGCATACAGGTGGTAAATAAGCATATGAAAATATGTTTGAAATATGTTTGAAATGTTAGGGGAATGCCAATTAAAACCACAAGGAGAAGTTACTAAATACATCTACCAGAATGACTAAAATAAAAAAGTGTGACAACACCAAATGCTGGCAAAGATGCAGACAAATTAGATCATATCTTGTTGGGGAGAACGTAGAGTGGTACAACTACTCTGGAAAACAGTTTGGCAGTTTCTTATAAAATTAAACACGTAACAGCCATATAAATGCACTCCTAGTTATTTATCCCAGGGAAATGAAAATGTTCACATACAAACTTCAACATGACTGTTTATACAGCTTCATCTGTAATTGCCCCAAGTTGGAAACCCAGATGTCCTTCAAATGGTGAATGACTAAATTGTGGTGTGTCCATACCATGGACTATTACACAGCAATAAAAAGAAATAAACTACTGTTACATGAAATAATCTATATCTCTTCAGATAATTACACCGAATGAAAAAAGCCAATCTCAAAAGGTTATGCACTAAGTACACTTATATAATAACATCCTTGAAATGTCAAAATTATAGAAACAGAGAACAGATTAGTGATAGTCATGGGTTAAGGAGGGGATGGGGACAGGAGGAAAGTGGATGTGGCTATGAAAGGGCATATAAGGGATCCCTGATGTGATCAAAATGTTCTGTACCAAAATCAACATCTTGATTATAATACTATATTATAGTTTTGCGAGATGTTATCATTAGTGACAATTTCATAAAGGATACATGGCATCTTTCAGCTTTTTTTTTTTAATAGAGCCAGGAACAGAGATTACCTGTATTTCCTACAGCTGCATGTGAATCTACAGTTTTCTCAAAGCAAATAATTTAATTAAAAAAACTATACAATGGGTGGCTCATAACTGTAATCCTAGCACATGAAGAGGCCAAGGTGGAAGGATCCCTTGAGCTCATGAGTTTGAGATCTGCCTAATCAAGAGTGAGACCCCCCATCTCTACTAAAAATAGAAAAAAATCAGCCAGGTATTGTGGCAGGGACCTGCAGTCCCAGCTACTTGGGAGGCTGAGGCAGGGAGATTGCCTGAACTCAGAAGTTTGAGGTTGCTGTAAGCTTGTTTTTATTTATAGAATAATTCACCTTTGAAAACAAGCAATAAGGGCGGCGCCTGTGGCTCAAAGGAGTAGGGCGCCAGCCCCACATGCCAGAGGTGACAGGTTCAAACCCAGCCCGGGCCAAAAACTGCAAAAACAAAACAAAAACAAAAAACCATGCACTAAGGTTATAAGCGTCATACTGATAGACTAACAATGTATCTCCCCAGGGTTTCTCTTGAAAATAGCTCTATGGATTCTGTTGATGACTTTGGCTTTAAGTTTCATGAAAACTAACAAATTTGGGACTTTCATATTTTAAATTCTCTCCCTAATGTCATGAATTCCAAAGCAAAAAAGGCTAGACATTGGCTTAAATAAGTCAAAATAATGTGCAAGTAAACCCCTGCACCAAACAAACTACAATGTTCAGTTTACTGCTTTATGTTTGTAATATTAGTTTAGGTTCAAATTTATTATTAATGATAAAATATTCAAACTATCATAAGCATAGGGGTGGCACCGGTGGCTCAAATGAGTAGGATGCCGGCCCCACATGCCAGAGGTGGTGGGTTCAAACCCAGCCTCCAGCCAAAAAAAAAAAGAAAAAAAAAAACTGAAAAAAAAAATCATAAGCATAATTATCAATACATCATCTATGGACTCTGACTGTACTCAATTCAGCAATTAATCTAGGGAAAATAACCTAAAGAGAGCCAGCCTAACATATAATCTGTGAAACTGGAGTCTTTTTTCTGCACAATTCTTTAGAATATTACAAAATAAACATTTTACATAGTACTTTATGGCTTATGAGCAGTATTCACACACATAAATCTTATTTAAGTCCTATAATCACCAAGGGATGGCTATTATCCTCTCCAATACTTAGATGAAGAAACAAAGACCCAGAAAAGTCAAGCTGGCTGCCCAAACTGAATGTACTAGTGAGTGGTAAAAGAAAGTGAAACTCACATCTGAACCCAAATTTCTTACTCCTGTGAGGTCCTGCTGCCTTCCATAGACCTTGATAAACTTGCACTGGACTGGCAGGGTCAGAATGGATGCACAATTGAAAATACTTTCTGTGACTGGTTTCTGCTGATGTGTCTTGTAAGTATCCTAATGCATCTTGTATCATCTTGATTGCCTTAACCTCCAGAAGAGCGAACACCATAATTTGAAACAGGTATATATTTTAAAACTTTTTATTTTGAAATAATTTTAAATTTATAGAAAAGTTACAAGTGTTCCTATATACCCTTCACCCAGTTTCCTCTAATGTTAAAATCTTATGTAATCATAGTACAATTACAGCAAATCAACACTGGTACAATCCTGTTAACTAAAGTACAGACTTTATTCACATTTCACTAATTTTCCTTCTAATGCTCTTTTTCTGTTCTAGGATCCGATCCAGAATCCCACATCACATTTAGTCATCTCTCTTTAGTTTCCTCCAATCTGTGACAAAGAACTTTTAAACTAAAATTAATCAAGGTTCATTTTATTCTGAAAATGTCATGACACTTCAGGAAACAGCGTTGAATGTTAAAACCTGCCTTCATATTTGCCGCGTCTGTATGATAACTAAGGAAACATCCTAAAATAAAGAGCCAAAGTAGTGCTAAACAGAAAAAAGAACAACTCTTTAAATAAAGGGAAGAATTGGATGTGATAATCTAATTAGGTTGGTTGTATTTAAAACTTCTGTCCATAAGAAAATAAGCCAATAGCCAGTTATAACACCCCGGAAAAGCACAAGCTACCACAGAGAAATCAATACAACTCTGTTTAATGGAGCAGTCATTAATTTGTTTTTATATTGAAGGGCTTGAGTTTGTTCAATCTACTGAGTAAATTAATAATACAAGTACACAAAGGATATTAGAAAGCAATACATTTTCTCTACATATGGACCTCCTTTTCTAATTGGTAGGTAGCATTAAAGATGCTGAACTATAGGTAATCCTATTTCAAACCCTAAACCCTTGTGAAGGTGTACAGAACTTTAGATCCTGTTCAAGCTACTCTGGGAGAAGGTTTGCTAATAAACCTTGATAGAGCACCTCTTATTCTTGAGGGTTCTGGATTGAGCACATTAATTCAAGAACTTT